ATAGGTTTTTTTTTTAATAAAATAAGCTTTTAAATATTATAAAAAAAAAATAATATTATATATATCGAGTAGCTTGATAAGCTTTCGAGTCGAGTCGGGTTGAGCTCGAACTCGAGCTCGTTTATCATAAGCTCGGCTCGCGAGCTCGTTAACGAGTTGAGTTCGAGCCGCGGTTCACTTACACCCCTAGATAATACCAACATCATTACATATATGCATAATATATGCAAGAGTGCTATGTGGGAAAAACATGATACAAGATAGTGACCAGTTCAACTGGATGAAGTAGTTCAATTCAGTGGTGTTTGTGCATAGACCGAGAAGATGCAATAAAGCAGCTCACTATTATGCTCAACGTGCTATAGAAGAACATTTTTTCTGAAAATTAGAAGATGGAGATTATTTGTATATACCTCAAGAATTGATTAACATTCTTGAGGACTTATTTTTGGGTTTTTGTTTTCTTAGGGGCTAGTTGGCCGATTGATTTTTGGGTTATTGACTTTGTAATTGTGATTTGTTGAATGTAATATAAGCAATGTGTTCGAGTATTGTGAATTCACCCAACTCTCAATAAGATTCATAATACACTATTCTTGTTGCTTATGAACAATCGCTATAATGTAAACACTCTAAATTTCATGTTCTGATCTTATTTTCATCATCATCTCTAAAGCCACATATACTTGCCATGATAGGGTTCCCATGACCTTGCCTACTCCACCATGGCAATCATCATGAGGTCAAAAACACTCAAGGTCCCCACATAGCCACAACCTTGTTCACTTGCCATTGCATAACTGCTGACAATATTAATCTTGCCAAATTCATCACTGCATTTGCCACTCCCATCCGTCGTCACCATAATCCTGTATCCGCTGCCGCTGTCATGACCTTCAAAAATTAATACAAAATATATATAATACAAAAATAGTTATATTTAAAATAATATATTAACAAAATTGATTCATCACATCCACTCAGATATAAAAAATGATTTCTTGAATTTATTTTTCAACCAATAAAATTGTTGCGTCCAGGAGTATTCGTGGTGGTAGAGAAATATATAGTTTATCGTCTTAGCGTTGTACGAAAATCCAGCACGCAATCAGATAAGAGAGAGGGTCTAGCATTTATGAGACACTAAGATTTTTACGTGGAAAACCCCTGTAAAAAGGGGGAAAACACACGGGGCCTAGTCCAGTTTGAACGAATCAACTTGTATTTGCAGTCGATTACAAATGAGGCTCTTCCTTGGGAGAAGGCCTTAGCTTGATGTACATCTTATGGGGTACATTACATGATGTAAATACAAAGAGTCATTATTGATATGTTCGTTTGGTCGGAAGGACCGTGGTCGGCGGGCGACGTAGGTCAGGAGGACCGTAGTCAGCTGGCGATGGAGGATTGTAGTCGGAGGTCGACGTAAGTCAGGAGGACCGTAGTCGGCGGGCAACAGAGGTCGGAAAGACTGTAGTCGGCGGGCGACATAAGTCAGGAGGACCGTAGTCGGCTGGCGACGGAGGTCGGAAGGACTATAGTCTGACGACGAAGATCAGTAGGACTCAATAACAGTATTGGGAGCCTTGGTGTATACTATGGCAAATGGTGCCTTTCCAGTGGAGCGGTTTGTCATTGCATTGAAAGCGAATTCAGCCCGTGAGAGAACTTCTTCCCATTGCTTCGGTTGCTCCTGCACTAGGCATCGAAGCATGTTGCCCAACGTCCTGTTTACAACTTCAGTCTGACCGTCAGACTGAGGGTGGTAGGCGGAGCTGAATCTTAGGTCGGTTCCAAGACGTTTCCACAGTTCACGCCAAAAATGGCTTATAAATTTGACATCGCGGTCAGAAGTGATACTTTTTGGCACCCCATGTAAACGAACGACTTCGTTAAAGAAAAGAGTAGCGATATTCATAGCATTATAGGTTTTCTTACAAGAGAGAAAATGGCTCATTTTAGAAAACCTGTCGACGACTACAAGTATCGAGTCATTACCTCGCCTTGTTCGCGGTAGGCCTAGAATGAAATCCATGCTAACATCTTCCCATATTGAATGTGGTACGGGTAAGGGCATGTACAAGCCACTATTTTGCGCGCCGCCTTTGAAAGCTTGGCATATGGGACAGCTTTCTACAAACCGCAATGTATCACGTCGCAATCTCGGCCAGAAGAAACGGGCTTGTAATTGCCGGAGGGTGTTATCTTGTCCCAGGTGTGCAGCAAGGCCTCCGCAATGTGTCTCCCTAATTAAGTGCTGCCGCCAGGAAGATATGGGAATACACAACAAATCATGCTTGAAGAGAAAGCCGTGGCGGATCGAATAGTCGTCACATTGTAATGTGGCCTGGCATTTTTCCCAAATGGCTCCGAAATCCTCATCTTTTGCATACAGTTCCTTCAAATGCTCCAGCCCCACAAGTTCCGCCTGCAGTGTTGTGAGTAAAACAGCCCTTCGGCTAAGGGCATCGGCCACGGTATTCTCGACACCCGGTTTATGCTTCAATGTAAATGAGAAGCGCTGTAGGAAAACTAACCATCGCGCATGCATACGGCTAATATTTTTTTGAGTATTTATATACTGCAATGCCTTGTTATCGCTACATAAAATGAAGTCTTGGTGTAAAAGGTAGGACTCCCATTGTTTGAGAGCACGGATTATGGCATATAGTTCTTGCTCGTATGCCGCCCATTTACTTCTTGCCGGACACAGCTTTTCACTGAAGAAGGCGATAGGCTTTCCCATTTGCGAGAGCACTGCACCTATGCCAATGGATGACGCGTCTGTGTCTACCATAAAGGGTATGTCGAAGCAAGGAAGAGTCAGAATAGGAGCTGTCGTGAGGGCTTCCTTGATGGCTTCGAAACTCTGCTGTTGGTCGGCCCCCCAACTAAATGACTTCAGCTTGAGGCAGTCAGTGATCGGAGCCATAATAAGGCTGAAATTCTTAATAAATCGACGGTAAAAATTGGCCAAACCATGAAAGCTTCGTATGTCAAAAAGAGACTGAGGTTGCGGCCAATCCTTGATAGCTGAAACCTTCTGTGGATCCACAAGAATTCCACCGTCCGAAACGATGAAACCCAGAAACCGCACACTAGTCGCCGCTAGTTCGCATTTTGGTAAGTTAACAAACAGCTTTTGTTCTCGGAGGATGTCAAGCAGAATTTTTAAATGCTGCAAATGTTGGTAACGGTCTGGGCTATACACTAGGATGTCGTCAAAATAGACGATGCAAAATCTTCCCAAATGAGGTTTCAAAATCTCGTTCATCATCCGCATGAACGTCGACGGTGCATTGCACAAACCGAATGGCATGACCTTCCATTCGTAGAGCCCTTGCGGCGTTTTGAACGCCGTCTTCCATTCGTCGCCTGGCCGGATACGGATCTGATGATATCCGCTTCGCAAGTCTAACTTAGAAAAGATGGTAGCACCCGTGAGCTGGTCCAGCAACTCGTCGATGCGTGGCATGGGAAAACGGTATTTGATAGTGATTTTATTGACGGCTCTACTGTCGACGCACATCCGCCAATTGCCATCTTTCTTCGGTACCAACAATGCCGGCACGGCACATGGGCTGCGACTTACTTGAATCAGCTGCTTCCGCAATAAGTCGTCAATAAGCTCTTGAAGAATGGCCTGCTCCTTGGGGTTGAGGCGGTAATGGGCTAGGTTCGGCAATGATGCACCAGGTGAAAAATCAATCTGGTGTTGAATACTCCTCAATGGAGGAAGTTCTGCGGGAAGCTCTTCGGGTGTGACATCCCGATATTGTTCCATAAGTTCGGATACTTCTTGTGGGAGCTGTTGCAAGGGGAGAGTTGGAGACACTTCCGTGACAAGCAGAGCAAACATTGGGGCCTGATTTCTCCATTCATTTATCAAATTATTCCCTGAGACAAAGTGGATGGCAGCACACTGAGTTTGATCTGTGCCCCGTGACTGAGAAGTGGATGTGCCCGGTAGTAGACGTAGTTTCCTCCCCTTCCAATCCAGTGAATACACATTAGCCCGTCCATCATATTGCACACCCACATCGAATTGCCACGGCCGCCCCAAAATCAGATGGCACACATCCATATCTAGTACATCACATAAAACTTCGCACGAATAGTGTTTTCCAATAGAAAAGCTCACCCGACACGAGTCTGTGACGGCTATCTCCATGCCCCTCTTGACCCAACTGATTTTATAGGGACTCTCGTGTCTGGTTGTTTTCAGTTGTAATCCTTGAACGACAGCTTTTGATACGATGTTTTCGGTGCAGCCGCTATCGATTAACAAATCACACACCTTGCCGCTTATAGTGCATCGAGTTTTAAAAATGGCATGGCGTTGCGACTTTCCAGTTTGACGTGGCGCCAAGAGCAGTTTTCCCATGACTCCCGCAAATGGTTCCCCCACATCGGCTTGGACGTCTTCCACCTGACCTGCTATTTCAACTGGGGTTCCTTCCGAATCAGTACCTTCCTCAAACTCGGCTAACTACACCTGCTTCCTTTGGGGGCATTCATTAGACTTGTGGCCGGGCTCAAAACAACGGAAACATTTGAGCGGCGATGGTCGAGCGTAAGGATTGGATGTACTGACTCCCTTCTGTTTATGCAGCGCCTTATCTTCAACATTCACGCCCGCTGGTTCCGCTTCAGGAAGCGAATTCGGTGCGGTCCTCGGTCCGGATTGATACGGGTGCTTATTCGGAGTCGAGTGTTCCTGCCAATGTCGACGAGAGTGAGACACCTTGGTCTTGCGGTTTTGCTGTACCTCCATTTTCATAGCTAGATTGACTGCTTGGGGCAGGGACCAGACGGAATTCAATTCCAATTGATCTTGGATACTGTCCTTGAGGCCGCCTATATACCGAGCTACCAACTGGTTGGTGGACTCGTTGAGATCATTCCGGGCACTCAACCGATTGAATTCTTCGGTATATTCGCTTACAGATCTCGCGCCTTGACTGCAATGTTGATACCTCATATATAAGATTTGTTCAAAATCAGTGGGAAGAAATTGCGTGCGCATTAGCTGTTTCATACGCGCCCAAGTTCGGACACGAGCTCGACCTTCCCGTCGTCGCGATTGCAAAGTCTGTTCCCACCAAGCACTCGCTCCACCCCTCAATAGGAGCTGTCGTGAGGGCTTCCTTGATGGCTTCGAAACTCTGCTGTTGGTCGGCCCCCCAACTAAATGACTTCAGCTTGAGGCAGTCAGTGATCGGAGCCATAATAAGGCTGAAATTCTTAATAAATCGACGGTAAAAATTGGCCAAACCATGAAAGCTTCGTATGTCAAAAAGAGACTGAGGTTGCGGCCAATCCTTGATAGCTGAAACCTTCTGTGGATCCACAAGAATTCCACCGTCCGAAACGATGAAACCCAGAAACCGCACACTAGTCGCCGCTAGTTCGCATTTTGGTAAGTTAACAAACAATTTTTGTTCTCTGAGGATGTCAAGCAGAATTTTTAAATGCTGTAAATGTTGGTAACGGTCTGGGCTATACACTAGGATGTCGTCAAAATAGACGATGCAAAACCTTCCCAAATGAGGTTTCAAAATCTCGTTCATCATCCGCATGAACGTCGACGGTGCATTGCACAAACCGAATGGCATGACCTTCCATTCGTAGAGCCCCTGTGGTGTTTTGAACGCCGTCTTCCATTCGTCGCCTGGCCGGATACGGATCTGATGATATCCGCTTCGTAAGTCTAACTTAGAAAAGACGGTAGCACCCGTGAGCTGATCCAGCAACTCGTCGATGCGTGGCATGGGAAAACGGTATTTGATAGTGATTTTATTGACGGCTCTACTGTCGACGCACATCCGCCAATTGCCATCTTTCTTCGGTACCAGCAATGCCGGCACAGCACAAGGGCTGCGACTTACTTGAATCAGCTGCTTCCGCAGTAAGTCGTCAATAAGTTCTTGAAGAATGGCCTGCTCCTTGGGGTTGAGGCGGTAATGGGGTAGGTTCGGCAACGATGCACCAGGTGATAAATCAATCTGGTGTTGAATACTCCTCAAAGGAGGAAGTTCGGCGGGTAGCTCTTCGGGTGTGATATCCCGGTATTGTTCCATAAGTTCGGATACCTCATGTGGGAGCTGTTGCAAGGGAAGAGTTGGAGACACTTCCGTGACAAGCAGAGCAAACATTGGGGCCTGATTTCTCCATTCATTTATCAAATTGTTCCCTGAGACCAAGTGGATGGCAGCACGCTGAGCTTGATCTGTGTCCCGTGACTGAGAAGTGGAGGTGCCCGGCAGTAGGCGTAGTTTCCGCCCTTTCCAATCCAGCGAATATACATTAGCCCGTCCATCATATTGCGCACCCACATCGAATTGCCATGGCCGCCCCAATATCAGATGGCACACGTCCATATCTAGTACATCACATAAAACTTCGCACGAATAGTGTTTTCCAATAGAAAAGCTTACCCGACATGAGTCTGTGACTGCTATCTCCATGCCCCTCTTGACCCAACTGATTTTATACGGACTCTCGTGTCTGGTGGTTTTCAGTTGTAATCCTTGAACGACAGCCTTCGATACGATGTTTTCTGTGCAGCCACTATCTATTAACAAATCACACACCTTGCCGCTTATAGTGCATCGAGTTTTAAAAATGGCATGGCGTTGCGACATTCCAGTTTGACGCGGCGCTAGTAGTAGTTTTCCCATGACTCCCACAAACGGTTCCCCCTCATCAGCTCGGACGTCTTCCACTTGGCCTGTTATTTCAACTGCGGTTCCTTCCGAATCGGTACCTTCCTCAAACTCAGCTAACTGCACCTGCTTCCTTTGGGGGCATTCATTAGATTTGTGGCCGGGCTGAAAACAACGAAAACATTTGAGCGGCGATGGTCGAGCGTAAGGATTGGACGTATTGGCTCCCTTCTGTTTGTGCAACGCCTTATCTTCAACGTTCACGCCTGCTGGTTCTGCATCAGGAAGAGAGTGCGGAATAGTTCTCGGTCCGGATTGATACGGGTGCTTAGTCGGAGTAGATTGTTGTTCCTGCCAATGTCGACGAGAGTAAGGCACCTTGGGCTTGCGGTTTTGCTGGACCTCAATTTTCATAGCTAGATTGACCGCTTGGGGTAGGGACCAGACGGAATTCAATTCTAATTGATCTTGGATACTGTCCTTGAGGCCGCCTATATACCGAGCTACCAACTGGTTGGTAGACTCGTTGAGATCATTCCGGGCACTCAACCGATTGAATTCTTCGGTATATTCGCTTACGGATCTCGCGCCTTGACTACAATGTTGGTATCTCATATATAAGATTTGTTCAAAATCAGTGGGAAGAAATTGTGTGCGCAGCAGCTGTTTCATACGCGCCCAAGTTCGGACACGAGCTCGACCTTCCCGTCGTCGTGATTGCAGTGTCTGTTCCCACCAAGCACTTGCTCCGCCCCTCAATCGGCACGCAACATATTGCACTTTTTTCTCCGGATCAATATCCATGTAATCGAAAAAATTTTCCACGGATTTCTCCCAATCAAGATAATCTTCAATGTGGATATGGCCATCAAAAAAAGGAATGTCCATTTTTACCTTGAATTCGCCGTGGTGTTGTCTGTATGGCTGAGGACGGCGATTCCGCCGCTGTTCTGTGTTAACAAAATCATCCACCTCTTCACCGCTCGAATATGGTGGAGTGAAACCTCTGGTTGGAAGCGGATCATCCTCCGAGTCAGTTGGATCAATTCGCGTCTCCTGGTGGTGCCTTCCGTGGCGTTCTCCCTCTGTTCTTCTCCTGGGCATTGGCTGATTTGTTCGCGCCTCATCCCGGTGGCGAACTGGGTTTACCGGCCTTGTTCGAAGGAGATTGAACTCCCGGCGAACATCCATTGCTAGTCGCTGCATTTCGACCGCAATCTCGTCAATTCGGCGATTGACGTCTTCCTGTCTCGTCCACAACGCCTCCAGCGTCCGCACCCCTTCTGTCGCCGGTTCCTTGCCTCTTTCAGTCATTTCCGTCTCCAGGTATATGGGCTCTGATACCAGGTGATGTCCTTCTGCAGGATCGAGGTACCTGGAAAACAATAAACCAAAAGACAGCAAACAAGCAAACAGGAATAGCTATATCCTTCCAAATAATAATAGCAGTAAAGTTATCCAAAATCGAAATGACAATAATAAGTTGCCGAATCCCAACAGGTAAGAGGTCCGGCAAACACCATGTGCTATCCCAGAAATCGAATGGTAGGAGAGGGGGGAAAATTTTCAGCCAGCGATTTTCCATTTAGCCAAGGGTCCTAGAAAAAGAAAGCTTACTACAGTTCTCAGCAGTCATATTATAAATAATGTACCCTTTAATCTTAATAGCAACCCCGCAAATATTCTTCCAAAATTTAGAAGATTTTGTACATAAAGGTTTCTAGTGAGAGCTATATTTAAACCTGAACCAGTCAAAACCCACAGAGTTGGAATTGAAAAACCTCCAGATGAATGAGCATGCAAACCCGTGAGACAGGGAGCTAAGGTCTGGAATCCCAAGACCCCGTAAAGTAATGGGTAGGCAGGTATTATGCCAACCGATAAGATGTAATTTTCTCTTCTTTGGAATCGTGATAAAGAAATCTTGAACACAATTTATCAATGAGTTTGCAATAAGCTTTAGGTATAATAGCTCCCTTAATCTAGTAAGCTTTAGTGCTAGTAATGGTAAACCACAAGAATTGAATATGACATACAAAAGAAATAAATTTTACTTTCCAACCAGCAAGTAGAGTAAAAATTCTACTCATAAGTGGTTGGAAGTGAGAGAAATTAAGCTTTTTGGTGGAGATCGACAACCCCAAATATTTAAAGGAATGGTCTGTGAGAGAGAATCCAAGAATACTGGTGTTATCATTTGTAACAAAAATATTCTTAGAGAATATGATAGAGCATTTTGCATTGTTAATGTGGAAACCAGATGTCATAGCAAAGTTACTTAAAATCTTGGAAAGCTCAAGAGCATTAGGAATAGTGGCCAACCCAAACACCAGCACATCATCAGTATAAAGAAGATGGTTGAGAGAGCTCGGCCCAAGCGGGACCCCCATAAAAGAGCTAGAGTCCATAGTGCAAGAAAAAGCATTCATAACAATCGCAAATAAAAACGGGGATAAGGGGCAACCTTGCCTTAAGTCAGCAGAAGAAGTGAAGAACCCCTCAAGAGCTCCGTTAATGCAAACATAAAAAGGGACAACAAATATGAAATTTTTAATCCAGAAAATTAATTTATCTAGAAAACTCTTCTCCCTCATTCTAGAAACAAGGAAATCCCAAGACACAGTCAAAAGCTTTGCAGATATCCAATTTAGCACAAAAATATTTCTTTGAAGAAGATCCATTGAATTCATTTAAAATCTCATTGGCCAAAATAATATTGTTAGAAGATATTCTCTTGGAGATGAAACTAGCTTGCCTTTTGGAATAATGTGAGGCATAATGACTTTTTGGCGATTTGCAAGTATCTTTGTAATGATCTTATAAAAGACATTACAAAGAGAAATAGGCCGATAATAAAAAATGTTAGAGACGTGCTGATGCTTAGGGATGAGAGCAATCGCCGTTGCTTTAGCACATCTAAGAAGGTGTCCGGCTGAGAAGAAATTTTTTGCAGCATTAATCACATACAAGCCAATGATATCCCAGGAGCACTTGTAAAATTCGAACGTAAAACCATCGGGCCCAGGGGAAGAGACCGACAGCCCCCCAAAAACCACATCTCTTATTTCAAGGTTAGTGATAGGAGCCAGCAAAGAGTCAGTCAAATGCAAAGGGATGGGATCTCCATAAGTAAAATTGATCTCATTATTCCCACAAGGCTTAGGAGGATTATAAAGATTTTTTAAGTATTCACAAATAGCATTAGCAATCTTCAGAGGAGAAGAGAAATGCCCCTCCATCCGTAGTGATCTCATTAATTCTTGAAGAATTTGCTCTAGTTTTTATACGAGCATACAAGAACCCCAAGTCATCTTCACCATTTTGAAGCCATTTAGCCTTAGCTCTTTGAATGATCCAAGAGTTCCAAGCACCGTGAAGTTGAGAGATGCTAGAATTAATCTCCTTCAGAGAAACATTAAGTAAGGGATCCTGGGGGTTGCATTATAAGAGATCCAAACAATCCTTCTATTTTTGATTAAGATCCAAAAGCCTAACCTTGATGAAATGATCATTATACCATTTCATACTTTTAAGATTACCTTTCAAATATCTAAGTTTACCATAAAAATTATCGATAGGACTCCCTTCATTATGTAAGGCAAAGGAAGACAGAAGAACTTCCCAATAGTCTGTCATCTTCATCCAAAGTTTTTGAATTGAAATCTTCTAGCCATAGAAGAAGAATGACCCTCCATTAGAAGTAAAGGGGAATGATCAGAACAACCAGGATGAACTACCTTATAATAGAATAGAGGGAAAGCATCAAGCCACTTTTGGTTTACCAACATCTTGTCAAGCTTTATATGAATGGGATCATCAGCACGACTGCTAAAACAAGTATATTTCAAACCGGTCGAATTAAGCTCAGTGGCGCCATAGCTAAACACCAACCCATTCAATTCCCCCAATATACTAAAATGCATAGGAGCACCACCAGATTTGTCTTTAGGTTCTCTGAAACAGTTGAAATCACCCATTATGATACAAGGGGTGGAGATAGAATCAGCCAAAATATTAAGTTGCAGCCACAAAGGGGCTCGCTCAACTTGATTATTAGCAGCATGCACCATAGAAAGAAGGATAGGGGGTAAAGTTCCAAAATTGAGAGTACCATGAATCAGTTGTGAGTTAGAGAGGATAGGGGAGAAAAAGGTAGTGGAGGAATTCAACTTCAGTTAGATTCTCCTGCATGAAGAATAGCTATAGTTATTACAGCTCTGCTCATTGGGAAAAATTTTGTGAGTGTTAATGAACTAGGTGTCCAAAAGGGAATGAGATGAAATTTTAGCTTCCAATATACATAACATGTCAAGACGGTTAGAGGCAGTCAGATTCTTAGAGGCTAGAACCTTTTTCGGTTTGTTAAAACCACGAATGTTCCAACAATCAATAGAAGGAAAAAATCATTTGGATTTGTTGGAAGGTTGTTGTGCTTTCCTAGCACCTTTGGTTCTGGTAGATTTTGCATGCTGCACTTTTTGAGATTGACCCATATCCGGATTGTCTTCAGCTTTTGGTCGATCAGCAGCTTGAAGTCTGGAATCAAGCTGATTATCCAACAAGATGGAGAATTTATTTGGGGAGGCCATGACAGAGACATTTTGGCGGCTCCTCTCAAAAGAGGAAATAAGGGCACTTTATGAAGAAGAGCCTTCACTAATAGCTGCAGTAGAGGAGGGTTTCGTGATTGGAGAGTGATCAGATGAAGAGATTTCATCCACTAGTGAATTAAGATTCAGGATGGAATCATCCAAGTGAGCATCAGAGGGAGGATTCTCAATGGGGGGAGGATTGGGATGAGTTGTTTGTGGAGGTTGGGGAATCGGAGGATCAACCTGCACCGAGTTACATTGAGCAGTGATGGAATTGGGTGAAGAAGAAGGAATCATGGTGATTGCAGGAGGTGGTATCAAAGAAGGGGGAGGCACATTAACGGGTATATTGTTGTTGGCAAGAATAACAGAGGAGGGAAGGAGAGCTGGAGGCTTCATGGGAGCATGAGCGGAGGTAGGAAGCACATGAGCTTTTGGGTTGGGCTGAGGATGACGAGCACGACTAGTGGTCCTTCCTCAGTTTTGAGTATGTAATTGAGCTTTTGGCTGCGGATTTTTATGGCAAAGATTGGATGGATGCACAAGAGATTCGCAGCCTATACACGGAGTCGACTTCCAGTCATATATAACCTTAAGAGACACATCATCCCCATCCATAGAAATAGGGATTTCATCCGGGAAAGAAGAATCATTGTTCACCATCACACAAACATGAGCATATGTAAGGCGAGTTTTTCTTGCCGTGAGAGCATCCACCGCTAATGGTTTACCAACAAAACTTGCAATTTTTGAAATACCCAAAGGGTTCCAAACAGCTAAAGGAAGATCATCAATCTTGATCCAAATGGAAATATAACTACATTCTTCCCGCTTTGGTTTAAACTTTGGGATCCATTTCTGAAGTATGAACGATCTTCCGAAGAAGAACCACGGCCATCCGGACCATGAGACTTCAAAATCTTCTGGCAAGGAAAATTAAAAAAAAAAAAATCTATCGTTAAGAGATAGGAGTTCAAACGAACCGTTTATAGACCAAACCTTTTTAATCGTGTTCTACAAGCTCAGTTAGGTAGGTCTCGGATCAACCGAGTATCCAACCTGCTAGAGGCCCCAATCTGGGATGTCGAGATCAATATCCTCAGAAGAGAACGGAACACAATCCGACAGATTGATGCAGGAAACATCGAAGTTGCTAACCACAAGGTCGTGATTGGAGAGGTTGTAAACGAAGTTAAGGCATTAGGAGCGAAGACAAAGGCAGTCATTGAATCAGGGTGAGGAGGGGAATCATTTAGATAGGAAGAAGAAGCCATGGGAAGGAGTGGAGAAGGGGAGGGAAACCCTCCTCTTGGCGGCGGAAGAGCAAAATCTGCGGGAGAAAGCAAAATTAGGGTTATCACCTCTCGAAAACCCCTAGATCCTTTTTTTTTGCCTCACTTCTGCTTCGTTTGAGACGATTTGTATTACAATTTTATTTTAAGAAACAATAAAAAAACTATCTCAAATAAAATATTAATCTTTTTCCATTTGTTATGACTAATTGATTACTCAAAATGATATTTTTAGTAGTTATACTTTTTTTGTCACATAAATTTATGCTTTTGGCAATATCCATTTGTTTTATGTTTTGAAGATGAATATTGTTATAAATTTTCCGAACTTTATATACTGAAAAAATAAAAATCAACAGCTCAGAAATTGGACTTCTTCCACTGTAATAATTTCTATTTAAAATTAATTATAATCTTTTTCACTGATACTCATACTAATGATTTAATTAATTAATAAATATTAAACTAATTTAATGATAATTATACAACTAATTATTTAGATAAATAATATAATTATATTACTTAGTATACTACTAATTAATTAATCTAATAAATTATCAAAATTATTTGGCAGTATTTATTGTAAATCCAAGTACAAATTCGAATTTGATACCAAGGCTCTTTGGATGCACCAATGATTTGATTTAACTAGGATTTCTTAAATCCTCTAAATCCAAATTTACTAAGTCATAGGGTGTAAATCTTAAAAACTCTTTGGTAACATTTAATATAAATCTGGATAAATCCTGTATGACTGTTTGACAATTCAATTTGAGATTAAGGGTGTTTAACATATTTGAAATTTATTTTATGGATTAAAGTTCTAAATGAAATACATCTAAGTTTCTTTAATACTAATTAATATTCTAATACTTATTAGTTATTTAATTATTTTTTATAATATTATATAGTTATAATTTATTAATTTCTATTTGAAATTCTATTTAATCCTACTAAGTGTTTTGAAATAAGTAAGTTTAACTAATAATCCTATTAATAATTTAATTAATAATTTAAGTATTTTAATTAGTTTTACTAAATTATTAATATTTTAAATTATATTAATTAAGTTAATCAATAATAGCTTACAGGGGTTAGGGTTTGCTTTTCCTCTATTTCGTCGTTGATGTTCGGCTTCATTCCTTCGCACGACGTTCTTCGGCTCCTTCGTGGGCTTTGGACTTCACTCCTTCGACGACGTTTCCTTTGGATCGGATCAGAAGTTACGACATTTTGATCGGAAGCAACGACGGCAGCTCGCTCGCTGTGAAGGTAACTTTCTCCCTTTCGCGTGCTTCTTCGGCCGAAACATCTCCTAAACCACTTTATCGCTGGTATTCACCATCTCCAAAGTTCTATCGATATCTCAGGTAAATTAGGCCATGGTAATATACAGCGAAGAGTTTTGTATCAAGCCACTGCTCAGTTTCTGTTCTCTTGTAGGTAATATAACTCGCCGGTTTTCCAAATGATTTCCGCCGTATGCTGGGTGCCAAAAGGGGCATCCAAGGTTGTACCTGTGGTTGCAGAGCCTCCATCGAAAGAGGAAATCGAGGAGGTCTTGAGGACGGGAGTGTTGGAGCGAAAGTGAGCCCCCACCTTGCATTCTTTGGTCCATGTGAATGAAAATTGTCTTCTTTTTGATGATTCACGGTTTTATGGTATCTGCAGGGGAGATATTGACGAAGAGGAGGATGAGTGCATGGATGTTGATGACGCTCCTGAGGTGTTGGACGAGGTTTCCATTGCCCGGGCGGCAACAAAGGCTCTCAATCAGGTTCAAGCAGGTAGGGAATCCAGAGATTTACAAGCGGTTTCTGTTGGCATTGAGGAGCTCAACATGGATGCTTATGATGATGAGGATGATGGTAAGTAATTTATTTCTTTTGATAAAATAGTTAAATATTCAGTTTGGACTAATGGAGGCGCTTGTTCTTTTCCGTGTAACCGGTATTGCCGTTTTCTTAGGCATTGAGTTATTTGCTAGTGGGATCGGGGACACTTACTATCCGAGCAATGATATGGATCCTTATCTGCAAAACAAAGGCGTAAGTAAAATGTCTTATAGAGTTTTATTATGCTTTTTTGCATGAAGTGAAGTGGGCTATTTGAAACAACATGGATCAGGATGATGAGGATGATGATGATGATGAGATAGAGGACATGACCATTAAACCTACTGATTCTGTTATAGTTTGTGCTCGCAATGAGGATGAAGTCAGTCATCTGGAGGCAAGTTTTCTTTTCTTGATTAATATTTTGTTTCTGGAGATATATGTAGTGAATCAAACTTATGTATATTGATTAATTCACTTGATGGTTTACTTTTCAAATTCAATTTATTTATCTTGTCCTTTACGTCACATCTTTTTTTGTGAGGGCTGGTTCTGTTTTTGAGATGTAATAATTGCTGTTGATCCTGTTACCGAGATTTTGTTCACTGTCTTCCTTTTTCCGGTGTTTTTGTATATCTTGGATGCAAATTTTAAGAATTTTTTAGTTTGCCGAGCATTTTGATGGTCTATTTTTAATACATTAAACGTTTGATTCAGGAGGATCTCTTGATAGAGATTCCTTGATTACGCTGTTAAACTTGAATAATGGGTTATTGGGAGTTTACAGATGAAGGCAAATCATCAATTAGATGCCTAGAGATCATGATTTGGAAGAAGAAAATTTTGAATTGTTGGGTTGCGATCTTGAAATAAGCTTAAGATTAGCTCTGTTTGCCTAGTCAAGGAGGTGTTATCTGCCAGTTTTGGATAATGTTAGATGTTTTTGGATAGGTTTTAATATAATTTTGGATTGGGGGTTACTTTATTTTAGGAAGGATATGACTATCCCTTATGTTGTTTAGGATAAGTTAAATCAAATATTACTATTCTTATTATTTGAAAGCCTACATTTTGTAATGAAAGAAACTACAATCCTCTCTTAAATCTCTATTTCCTTAGTGATCTCTCTCACTTTTGCTCTTTGTTACTCTTCAAGGTTTTGCAACAATGTCCTTAGCGGTTGGACCTCTCTTAACTTTTATGCCTTTGTCATTGCCTAAATCCACTAAGGATCATTGCCTAAATCCACCTAGGATTATTGTTCAATGATTGTGGATCTCAATTACTAGTTCTTTTTTGTCTCAGTTCTGTTTTTCTTCGTGTATTCAGGTTTAATGATATTATTTTGATAGGTTTGGATTTTTGAGGATTCAGGAGATGGAGATTCAAATATGTATGTGCATCATGATGTCATCTTACCGGCTTTCCCCCTTTGCACCGCATGGCTGGATTGTAACCTTAAAGGTGGTGATAAAGGTAAATAGTTTTTATAGTTTTTGTTATTTCACTGATTTTTTTTCTTCAATCTTGGGTCTCCGTTATCAATTTCTGTTGCTTGGGTTTTTGAGAGTGGGTTGAACTTATGCTATTACATATTTTTGCTTTTTATTAGTTTGTAAGCAATGAATATGATTCACTTTGAATTTACTTGTGGAAGAACAAATATATTTAATACTAATCAAATGGAATGAATATTAAATATGGTTTTCACTTGGCTCAGCTCAAAGAGCTTTGCATTGCTCAATACATATTATTTGCTTCAGACAATACAAATGTCTGTATTCTTTTTTCATTCTGTTAGTTGAAAAATGCATGTTCAAATGGACATATTTTCTTCAATACTTATTAAAATAAATAATTCCTAGAAAGTTTAAAATGCATATGTTATTTGTTGTGCCTGATAAATTTACTTTTTTGTTAGTTGAAATATGCTCAAGGAGCTTTGCATTTGCCATTTTACGATGTAGCACCTCTATAGCTTTGACTTTTGCAAATACAGTTGCGGATTTAAAACTTATAAATAGTTTTGGGTTTGGATTTTCATGGTTTAGCACCTAATTAAGGTTCTTAAAAAGGCTGGAAACTTGAAATTCTCTTGAACTAGACCAAATTCTACTTGATCCAATTTTGAGCACCATTTCAAAATTAAAATTGATATTGAGCCCCACTCTAAACATGAAATCATTTTTTAATTCTCTCTAATTTGCTCAAATATGATTTGAGTTGATTCAATTTCTGTCTCGAAATAAGTATTTATATAAAATATGAAATACATATTAATTGAATATATATATATATATATATATATATATAGACACACATACTTGTTCATATAAAACATAATGAAAATCTAATTTTGATTCTTCTTGAAGTTGAATTATTTTGAGTTGATGTAACTTCGACCTTATAATTCATTTTCGATTTAGAGCCCAAGTCTATGTAGCACCGATACTCTTGTTTATGAGGCATGTTGTATCGGATACGGATATGCCTCTGATACGGCACGAATACGTGTCGGATACGGCTTTGCCGTGCCCAATTAAAATATTATTTAAATTTGATAGGACAGACGTATCATATATGCGTGTAATGTTATAAAACGAGAAAAAATGGAGCGGCAATTTGTCCTATTAATTTCGGCTACCCGCTCGACATCCCTATTCATTTCGGCTACCCGCTCAACATCCCTATTCATTTATGCGTCTTAAACATTTTTGCGAGCTAGGTTTTTCATTTCTACATAGGCGTTCGTCTTCTTCGTTGTAGTCGAAGAAGCGGCTCGACGACACGAGCATAGAAGAGACAGGATCAACCTTCGTCGACAACGAGGCTCGACGACGCGAGCATTAAAGATAAAAAGATCATCCTTCGTCGATAGAGCGGCTAGACGATGCGAACAATGAAGGCGACGCAAGCAGTGAAAGTTCGTTTTCTTCATTGCTCGGTACCGGAATTCGGTAACGCTCGCTAAATTTTGAACTTGCTAAATTTTTTGGTTATTTAAAGGACTTTGGTGACCAAGAGTCATTGCGTGATAGATGGATAATTGATCCGAAAATGTGGTGGATTATACATTGAGCTTCAACACCTTTACTTCAAACAATCGCCATAAAATTGCTTAGACAAGTTACATCCTCATCTTGTTGTGAAAGAAATTGGAGCACATACTCGTTCATCCAATCAATGAAGAGAAATAAAATTACTCCACAACGGGCTAAAGATTTAGTTTATGTGCATACAAACCTTCAGCTTCTTTCAAGGAAAACTCCAACTTATATGAAAGGGGACAACATGATATGGGATATTGCTGGAGATGGATTTGAATCCCTTGAAGAGGTGGGAATATTAGAAATTGCTAATCTTTTACTAGGTGAACCTGAATTGAAATTTGAAAGCTATGATATTTATTGAAAATGATTTAGAAGTTCAAAGACAAACCACTGAAGAATCTAATTCCATCATTCCTTCTTTTGAATAGTTGAAACTTCATGTGCTAGACAATTTATGTTTTTATTTTTGTTGTTGTAATAGGCATTTAAATATTTAATGTTTATTTTTATTTTGATATTATAAGATACAATGCTACAAATGATGTTGATTTCAACTTTTTTTGTCATTTCAAATATTGCACTTTGATTACTGTCTTAATTTTTATGTATGATTTATATATTATAATGTTGTATCCAAGCCGTATTCGCGCCGTACCCGTATCCTGTAGTTTTAAGAATTGACGTGTCCCGTATCCGTATCGTGTCATATCCGTGTTGCCGTATACTTATCGGTGCAACGTAGGTCCAAGTTAAGCCTAATTCTCTCAAACTTGATGCATATCATCCTTCTGCAACTTTTTTTTTTCTATTTTAATCTTCTAGCAATTTCTTGTAAATGTATCCGTGGTACTATTTTTTAGTTATGGCTGGCTATGATGACCTATTTTCTTCGGTAAAAAAATCAGGTTATTGTTATTCGGGGTTGTTTAATTTGTAAGCTTCAATCCCTCGTCCCCCTTCTATTTTCTCCTCCCTTCCCTCTTTCAAAAAGAAAACGAGATGCTTCTTCGCTTACCAATCATTTTGTAGGCTTGACATGGATATGGTTGTTTAGCTATGTTGCACCGATACTACTATTTATGAAGGCGTGTTGTTTCTGATACACTGATACACGGATACGCCTCCGATACGACACCGATATGTGTCGGATACGACAAAGATGTATCCAATTAAAATACTATTTAATTTCAAAAGGGCATGCATATCCGATACTCGTGTCCGTTGAAAAGCAAAAAAATCCGAAAAGATGCGTCATATTTACTTCCGTAGTTGCAAGCGAGGTTCTCTTATTTTCGAGATGGATTTGAGTCTCTTGATGATATGAGAATATTATAAATTGCTAATCTTTCACTTGATGAGTTTGAATTAGAAGTTATGATATTTATTGAAGATGATATAGTAGTTCAAAGACAACCCACTGAAGAAGCTAATCATATCATTCATTCTATTGAAATATTAAAAAGTTGAAACTTCATGTGCTAGACAATTTATGTTTATGCTTTTGTTGTTGTACTAGACATTGAATGCTTACTTTTATTTTGATATTATAACTACAAGGTTAGAAATGATGTTGCTTTCATTTTTTTTGTAATTTCAAATATTATGCTTTGATTGTTTTTTTAATTTTTATGTATGATTTATAAATTATAATGCCGTGTCCGCATTGTACCCTTATCATGTATTTTTAAGAATTGATGTGACCCGTATCCGTATCATGTCGTATCTGTGTCGCCGTATCCGTATCGATGCAACATAGTTGTTTAGAGAAGCCAAAGGATTAATTAGACAAATTTATAACATGAATTTTCTCAATGTAATAGAATTTATGTTAAATGTTGACCACCTTTCTGGACTTGAGTTGTTAGTCCATCTGTCATTTTGGCTAATTACTTCTAGTCGCTTACTGACGTCATTCGATGCTATGACCAACGACTATCTTTCACTACTTCTCATCACGTTGATTGAAGACTTTCTTCTAGATCAACGAAGTTCTTTTAATAGCCTTGGTTGATAGTTTGGTTCTATCCCTTGGTTGATCCCTTGCCTCTCCTTGCAACTTTGGCTTTGCCAAAATCTTGATAAAGTCACTATGAGGTGACCCTATTTTTTAGCCAATGTCTTGGCTTTTTTATGGGTCCATTGTCAATCCATCCCGTTATCCAGTATGATGAGGCAATGTCTTACGCAACATCTTTTCACACGCTGAATTTGAAGTCGTTAACCCCGTTGGCAACTTGTTTCTAGTCAGGTATTGTTGGATACTTTTCTCTTAGTAATTTTCCCCTTCCATGTTAAGTGGAAAAGAATATTGAGATGATGGCTTGTCTCCTTCCTTCCTTTTTGGTTACGTGATAGTAAAGGCTTTGCCTATCCCCTACTCTGTCTATCCCTGCATAACATTTGTTGGTGTGACAACTGGGATTGTTGCCTTTCTCCACTATTTATACCCATCTTCTCAAGTGAATCTAAGTTGGTTGGGTCATTTGACATTTTGAAAGTTCTCCTCCTAGTAGCTCTTGGCCGACCTTGTGTCGCTGGCTCTAGGAGTCGTTGACACCTTTTCTTTGGTGCGTGGCCACTGTGTTGACACATTGTGGTTAGAATTATGCAAGAGGTATCTTTAGAACACTTACTTTTTCTTATGTTTACTAGCCTTCCCTTTTGCCATCATCGGTTCTAAACCTAACATCTCTTATGTGAGGTTGGTTACCTTACAAGCAAAAGAAGGGCTAACATTCACTTACACTAGAACTCTTCTAGGTGAACTATCCAATGCTAGGCGATTGGTCTCTTTGCCCGTTTAGTCCATCATGAAGTCCTTTATTCGACGAGTATTTACCCACTATTGTTGATGCACTTGTTGGCCTAACATTTGCCAAGTCTTTTGACCATAACCATGCTCTTGAAAAATTTACAATCGTCACACTTTGGAAGTCACCGAACCCTACATGACGAGTTCACCGTCATGGGGAACTGACATCTTCGTGTCCTTCATTGGGATAAAATGTCATCTCTGCAACATGACACATTTATGTTCTACAATGAAATGACGACCTCCTCGTCATCCCATCAATGTGCCCATTCATTGAATTGTGAGTGTCACGCCGCGTAGTATTCACATTGTCAATTGCAATTTGTGCTCATGCCCATTCACCCATTCTACTGCATCCACACCCATACTCGACAATGCTAGAACCTTAGATTCCATAACCATCAGCTTTGAACTTACATGTAACCATCGACTCAAAACCGACAACTCTCTAGAGCAATCACAAGAGCCATACTTCACTTGCTTATAATGACTAGGCATAGTCACCTTGTATTGTGTGGATCCGTTGACACCCTACTGATGTGTCCCTTATTCTTAGACATTGGCTTAGGCTTGGCTTTAATCAATTCATTTATCCGCCTATAGTATGTCAACTTCCTTGTAGATCCTCCTTTAGAATTTGCCTTATACTTGTCGCTACCTTGTCGCGATTTCATAGGAATAAATTCATTGTATACCATTTAAATTCCTTTAATTAATAAAAGTATTTCTTCTGCATGTTTATATTATTTGCTTTACTGCTTTCATAGATGTTGTTATAACTTTTTATGCATTTACTTTATTATTATTACTACTTGTGTTGTCTTGGGATGATCACATCTAACCTCTTCCTGAAATTGATGTTAACCAATAATTGCTGCTAGCCTTTTCTTCTTGGGATAAACCCTTATGCTGAGTCCCAAATACATGATTATTCATTTTTAATCAAAAGCTTTCTTCGAGCTTCATGCCATCATGTAATTTAGCACAAGGTTTTTGTTCATATGAAATCAAACTCCCATGATCAGAATAAACTTTGTCTGATGTTATGATCCGAGTAAGGAAATATTGTTTAGTTTCATATATCATTGTCTTTTGAGTCTTTAGTGAGTACACTCTTTGCCTCTTGAGGTGGTATGTTCCCCTCTCTATAGGTTTCACTTTAAAGAGAAAGTTGTGTTACTTATTTTAACGTACATGGAATCTCATGAGGTAGCATAAGGGCGTACTATTGTTTCTGTCCATAAGGATTGTATGATTTAATCATTTATGACCTCATCTATTGCATTATTCTCTTTTGAATCCCACATAATTTGAATGAATGTCTTATTACATGATTAATATTCTCCTGCTTGCCAAGAAGATAGTAGATTATAATTCTTTGTTCTCTCGCTATTTCTACACTCTAACTCCTTCCCTGAAGAGAAAAAAATTCATTGTCAAAATCATCATTGGCTGGATTGGGTATGGGTGTTTGTTGGGAAACCACTCCAACTCTTTTTGGCTCTTGCACTCCCTACTCTCTCTCCTTTGAACCAATCCTAAACACGTGGCCATCAACCTCTCACTTAATATTTCCCTCTTTTACCCCCCTACCTCTGTCCCTCCTTTTAAATGTTCCCCTACACTCCCTAAAAAATCATCCTTGAAAGGGGAGGGGATGGATTACCTCCATCTCTCCTCTTTTTGTCGTCTCTAGTCTTAAGCCTATCCATCTTGATGAATTGGATGGGTTATGGAGTTGGTATAAGCACTCCTACTACTTTCCTTTTTATCTTACTTTTTGATTGTGTCTCTCTCTCACTCCTTTCTTTCGTAGATACTCGTCAAGGAACTCCCAAGGCCTCTTATTCATGAGAAGTTCAGTGTCCTCTCTTTACCTTCTCTCTCTCTCTCTCTCTCTCTCTCTCTCTCTCTCTCTCCCCCCCTCTCTCTCTTCAAACAGACGGCAAGTATAAATAATGAAGCCAAGAATAACTGCACTACCTTCATTCCTCCTTTTGTCCATCTCTCTGTCTAAGTCCATCTTGATGAATTGGTCGGGTTATGGAGTTGGCACATGCACTCCATCTCTCTTTTTCTCTTGTTTTTTGGTCATCCGTGTGTCCGTCTCTCTTAGAAATTCTCCAAGGAACTCTTAACACTTCGCAACCACGAGAAGCTATGCGTCCTCTATTTTGCTTTGTTCCCATTCCCCCCTCCCAGCTCCCTCCCTCCCTCCCTCCCTCCTTCACTTCAATAAATAATCAAGCTAAGATTTAACAACACTACCTCTTCCTCTCCTCAGTTCGTTCATATCTTCTTCTAAGCCCCATTTTGATGAATATGGTGTGCAGATGCACTTCATATCACTATCTTTTTATTTTACATTTTGGGTTTCTCTCTCTCACTTCCTCCTAGAAACTCCTTGAGGAACTCCAAACACCTCTTAACCATTGAAGTTTGGTGTCCTTCTTTTACCTTGTCCCTCTCTCTCTCTCTCTCTCTCTCTCTCTCTCTCTCTCTCTCTCTCTCTCTATCCCCCTCACTTTGTTTAAACATATGATGAGAATAAATACTGAAGCTGAGATTATTTTGTAAGAAGTAGAATGTCTATGTGATGTAAATCATTTGATGCTTCGATTGATCAACTTGATTTTTTTTGGTAACAAGGGACTGGAATGTATTGACTACTGGAAGGCTACATTATTGCACCCGAAACAATTATTGCACTTCCTGAGCAACTCATTCATCTCTGTGTGATCAGCTGCAACTTTATTTCACTCAATATAAGGCAAAAGTATCAAATGAAGTTTTAGTCAAACCAATATTCATGACTTCAAATTGATGTCCAATAGAAGGCTGTCACTGAGCTTTAGATGCCTTCAGTTAAGGTTTTGGAAGTGAGCTTTAGATGCCTTCAGTTAAGGTTTTGGAACTTATTGACCAACAATTTAGAATTTTTGAAACTTCTTGACTAAATTTAAAGTAAATTGCGTCTAAGCACGTGCAAGTAATTTACCCTATTTTCTTTTGTGTGTAGTGAATTTTCTCTCTAACTTGAAGCTTACCTGCAATGCCTAGAAGTGTGCAAAATGATTTGCACAAAATCAAATTAACATCTCATATAACACTCAACAAAACATTGGAGATAAGGATTGATATTGATGGGGTTTAACTATATTGTTGATGATGATAATTTATGAGCTATTTCCAACTAATTGCCCAGAATACATGTTAGGAGTTGTGCAAGTTTAGCCTGTAAACTTATTTAGGTCTTGCTGAAAGCTTGTATTCGAGAAAAGAAATGATATAATTTTGCAAATAATTCATCTTGATGTCCGCATTTCTGTCATTTTGGTTTTTATTAGAGATTCTATTTGCCTCTGTTCTCTCCCTTCAAAATTCCTGCAGATTGGTTTTCATGAATGGAATCAATTTTTTCTTCAATTAACAGGTAACTTTCTGGCTGTTGGCTCGTTGGAACCTGCAATAGAGATTTGGGATCTTGATCTTGTACGTATTTCAGTAGTTGCAACCTTTTTGACGTCGTTAAAAAAACTTGGAGATCCTTCTTTGGTGACTTCAGTTCATCAAGTGTTACTGAAGAATTACATATTTATTGGTACAGATTGATGAAGTACAGCCATTTCTTGTACTAGGGGGTGTGTCAAACAAGAAGAAAAAAAACAAAAAGGTTCAGTCATTTACTTTCCTGATGTTGCACACTTGCACTGTAATTGGTTTTTGAAATATGGTTTTAATTTTTTTTCTTTGAAATAAATAATGGCACACTTTCTTATGCTGTGGTTTATAGACTGTACACACGAGTTGGCTGTCTGATCAACTTGAACTTGAAACTCGTGTATTTCTTTGTTAGTTTATTTCTTTTCTGAGTTGTCTTAAATATTGTTTTAGGTATCATTATTTTCTATTTTGAACTCTGCCAGAAAAGAAATGTTAAGAGTGCATGTATGCAATGATAATAATTTAGCAAGCTTCGGATTTATTTGGGCCGCTTAACTATCTAAGAATTGAAGGACAAACGCAATGAAAATAAGTGGACAAACTATTAAAAGTGTTTATTATTCCTACATAGTTCTTAATTCCATCAGTTTCTGTGACCTCTGGTAATTAAAGGCCTTAAGGAAAGCTCATTTGAAGCTCTTCATTTGACAATTTTTATAATATCTAAACAGCCAGTTGACAAACTTTCAGTAAATTATTTTCATTTCTCAATAAACTTGAAATCCGTAAGTGTTACTAGCCAATTTTCACTTGTGTAATTATGTAGTTTTTGTAACAACAGAAATCAGTTATCTACAGGAAAGATAGCCATAAAGACTCTGTTCTTGGCCTTGCCTGGAACAAGGAGGTGAGGTGAGCAATAAGCAATATACTTCAATTTTTTGTTATTCACAGTTAATATCTTTTTGTTTTGTAACTCTGCTTGTTGAACTTCCAGGAATGTCCTAGCTAGTGCAAGTGCGGACAAGTCAGTCAAGATATGGGATGTTGTTACTGGGAAATGTGTTGCTACTACTGCTCACCATTCGGACAAGGTAAATGATCATGTCTTAACTTAGCATGAAATATATTAGAACTGATTTAGTACTATTGTGAATTATAGACAGAAATTTTTTTGCTTTAGCAAATATTTTGTCTTCCTCATTTTTCTTCATAATTTGAAATTATCATTGTAAATTTTGAATGCTCTGTTTTTCAATTTTGGAGTTCCATAGAGGTCAAGTACAATTCAATGATTGTCCAGATTTTTTGAAATTCTGAATCAGTCATGGTTCCCTAATGACTGTTTTTGGCAAAAAAATGGATTTTTAGTATGGATAGATAATCATGAACGATGTTTTTAAACTGTAATAAGACTGATGATATTGTATGAGTTTGAGTATTGGGCGGTAAGTGAGCTGGTCAATTGTTAATTTGGGCATGAAAAAAATAAAAACGTTGAGATAGATGTGAATTGAGTAGGTGGGATGAATCAAATATTGATTACATTAGAGGAACAACTAGAATGACATTGAAAATCAAATAATTGAAATTATAATCAGATGCTTCTTTAACATATACTTAGATGGTTTTTGGATAAGCACAACGAAGGATAGAAATTGAACACGTTAGATGAGTAGATATAATTAGAATTGGATGAATAGGAAAGAGAGTATAGACTTAATTTAACATGAATGGAATTTATTAGAATGATTTAGGAAAATATGATTGGCACATCAGGCATTACTCAGTTGGAATTAATGAAAATTGAGGATTCATAGATCCAACCCCAACTAATTATCATAAAACTAATGATGATGATGATGATAGGTAGATCATTGTGGATACTCGTTATGTTGTAAACTCCAATTAACTAGTCCACCTTTGTGAATGGCATCAGCTTTATTTATTACAATACAACACAATATTGCGAAGCAAAATCATATAAGAAATTTTGCTAATGGTGCTGATTGGTTATGATAACGATATTATGAATGCTGCTTAGTGCTTTACTAAAATCTCCCACCTGTTTGGTACTTTGGTATTATTGAGAACGATTGGTAAAGCATTTAGCCAATCTCTGAGAGCATCATAAGTGCATTACAATTTATCTGGTAAAATATTTTCTTAGCATTAGGTGTTTTCTCATATTTTTTTGGCTCTCTCATTGTTACACGTAAATCAATATGCACAGGTCCAGTCAGTTGCATGGAACCGGTTTTCTCCTGAGCTGCTGCTTAGTGGATCTTTTGACAGATCAGTTGTTATGGTGAGAGACAATATCCATTCGTAATTAATGTTAAATCCTTTTGTTGTTTATAATTGTGACTTCAGTTTCAATCCTTAGTAATAAATTAATTAAACCTTTTTATATTTCATTGCTTTAATCACTGCCTCATTTCACCCTTGGAATTGACAATTAATATTAGAGGCATTTTTTTATTTCGGCAATCAGTTTATTTTATAGACCACTAGAGATTTTATAGCTCAGCAAAGGTTTGCTATTTAAATTTTTTTCCCTTTTTTATTCAACGTTCAACATGCAACCACCAAGATATCAATGTAATGTACAACATAAAGTAAATTTTCCTTTACAGCTTAAGATGGGATTAAGGGCTAAAGATTATACTCAAGCAAGCATCAATAAAAAACCTTTATTTGAAACTTAAAACAATTGCAAAAAAAAAAAAAATAGAGCTTGAATTTTAAAATTTAAGTTAAGAAAATTTGAATTTTCAACCTTTAATGTATAGAATCAATATGAATGGCCTTAGAATTGTTTTTTCCTTTATTTTATTAAGTTTTTAGCATGATTAGGAAGTTCCCTTGGAGGACAATGCTTGGAATTCCATTTAAAATTCAAGTTCCTTAAGTGTTGGAGGTGGTTGGGGTGGTTTCAACCCGTCCCCCTCCTTTGATGGCTGGCCATAAACTGTCTCTCTCTTGCTCTCTCCCCTTTTTATCATTTTGAATTTTGAAGCATTAGAAATAATACAACAAATAAATATTGGCCAAAAGAATGAAATTCAATTTTGATATTTTGAAAAGGATTAAATTTCAAAATAGTCCCCTGACTATTTGTATGTGGCCATTTTAGTGCTAGACTATAATTTTGCTCCAATTTAATTCCTCGACTATACAAAATTGATCCAAAATTTTACCGACTAAATTGAAATCAATTTTGTAAAGTTCAAGAATTAAATTTGGATCAATTTTATATCACAATTACAACATGAGGGTCTATTTTATATCATTTTTGTATGTTTGAGGGACCAAATTGGAGCAACGTGATACTTAGGGACTAAATTGGCATACAAAAATAGTCTGGGGACTATTTTGAGATTTTTCTACTTTTCAAAAAATAAATTAGAGAACTCATTCCCTTGGGTTGGAGCTTGGTGGTCGCCCCTTGGCTTTTCTTGGTGGGAGGGCTAATTATCTATTGGCTAATTGTTGATCTCTCTTCCAACCTCTCATACCATTGGAATTACATCTTTTATTACATTCCTCAATCATCCAATACCATTTTCTAGGCCCTATATTCAGAAAAAAAATTAAAAAACCCCTTCTATAATCTATCGGTCAAACTAGGTTACCTAGCACCTAGTTTTAGATCCTCTCCCTCTGCTAGCCCCTAAACCTATTAGAACTTTATCATCTACTTCAGAGCTGACCTCTAGAGATCCACCTAACATTCTCAAATCTTTCCACCACACCTGAATTCCCCACTAATTCCCTAAGCCCAAACTAGGGCAGTCAGCGAATCTTGGTTTTCGTAAACCTAGTTTTAATTTCTCTTCTCTTACAAGCTGCCGAAATCCAAAAATGTCCATGATCTAGACTTTACTCCACAATACAACACTAATTTTTAAATCTCAAGGAAGAGCTGTCATGTTTGGTCTACCATCAATGCTTGGCCAGCCACTCCTTCCGCCCCTTCAGGTATCCCTTCATCAACACACTAAGGGCTATTACTTCATCATTGACACCTTACTACATCAATTGGAAGCCTAGGTTCATCATCTTTCCAATGCTACTTCCAATTTGGTATCAAAGCCAAAGATCAAACTTTAAGAATTCAGCACATGGGACATCTTGGAGCTTTGGAGCTTGAACCATGGACACTTGTGATTGGTAGATCTGTCATCTACAAAGGGATAATGTCTAATTTGACTTGTCTAATTTCTTTTTATCATGATTTGATGATATTAAGAGTAAAACAGTGATTATTGAATGTTGAACGAAAGTCTATGATATACTTATTTAGTTCCAATTAGTTGTCATCACCTATAAAGCCTAGTGTACTACTTATGTGAGAGCCTATCTACAGCTGTTACATTGAGCGAATTCTTTGGTAAAGATAGTGTTCCATATATTAAACATCTCAACTTGATTACAAGTCCATATATAAAAACCTACTTTACATTATTTTGCATTAACTTGTTATTTAATACATTGTGTTAATGCAAGGGCGTTCCCTAAAATCGACGCGTTGTTTGGCCTGAATACAACGATAAGTGAGTAAGGGCTGCTGCATCGCACCCGGGCACAATTTTAAATAGGCTAGGGTTTCCACATTATAAACGAATGTGGGCAAATGAGCTAGTCCATTAAATTAAAATTAGAATAAAAACTTAAAATATAAGTTTATTTATAGGCAAATTAATTGAATTATTAGATATTATGATCCATAGGAAGATAAATTTTTCTTGTATTTAAGAAACTAGAGAAGGCTAATGAGATTGATAGTTTAGGATTTAAATTATGGTATTTTGGTAAGAGTCGTACTAGAATTGGTGAATGTGTGATTATATATAAGAGTTTGAAGGATAATGTTGTAAAAATAAATAGAATTGAAGATAGAATTATAAATTTAAAGATTGTTGTTGATGTTAGGATTATTAATATTATAAGCGCTCATGCTCCTCAACTAGGTTTGAATATGTGCTTAAAATTAAAATTTTAGAATGACCTAGAAGAATTAATACAAATGGTACCTCTCGAAAAAGAGTTTTTTATTGGAGAAGATTTAAACGGACATAGTTGTAGATATGTATATGATTTTTAAAGCATTCATGGTGGCTATGGCTTTGGAGCGACTAATGAAGGTGGTTAGATCATATTAGATTTTTCTTTAGCTTATGATTTTGTAATTGCTAACATCTTATTTAAAAAAGAGATGAGCATCTCATCACTTATAAGAATGGATATAGTAAAACACAGATTGATTATTTTCTTATAAGAAAAATAGATCATTTAGATTGGAAAGATTGTAAAATTATTCTGTGTGAAAATTTATGTACCAAATATCACTTATTAGTTTTAGACTTTAAGATGCAGGGGCAGAAAATAAAAAATAAAGTAAATTGTTGTTCTAGGAATCTAGGATTAGATGGGGGCATTTAAAAATATTAACAAAAATATTTTTGAGAGTAAGAATCTAATCTTAAGATTTTATCTATGTATGAGGAAGTTAATGTTATGTGAAAAAAATAACTAGTGATATTAAGAATGCTGTAAAATATGTACTTGGAGTATCAAAGGAAAAATCTATTAATTGTTAAAATAGTTGGTGGTGGAATCAAAATGTGCAAGAAAAGATAAAAAATAAGGACATTTGTTATAAAAATTGGTTTAGTTGTAAAAATTATGATAATTGGAAAAGATATAAAAAAGCCCGTAAGGAGTCTAAGAAAGTAATTTGTAATGCAAAGATTTTTGCTTTTAATGATTTATATAATAGATTAAATATTAAGGAGGACGAAAGATATATGTATAAGTTAGCTAAACACAGAGTTAGAAGTAGTAAGGATTTAGTTCAAAGTGAAGTGTATTAAAAATGAAGATAAAAAATTGCTTTTATTAGAAAAGGATATTCAACAAAGGTGGATGAGATATTGATACGCCCTAGGGTTCCACAATTTCGGTTTTGCCCTAATTTCCCCCAAAAATGAGGAATTTCTCCACCAAAAGCAAAGAAAAACAATCACAAGAGGGTTGAGATGAAAAGCAAGAACCTCTGCATTAGAAAGCCAAGAGAAAACAAGATAAGTTTGTCCACTTCGAGAAGGACAAGATATCCCACAAGAAAATCCTAGAAAAGAACAAGAAGGAAACTAGAAAGAGAATACACTTTTCATAATGCCCCCAACCACCCTAAATAAAAATAAAGATTTTTGTTTTTATCGGCGTATTAGTAAAATTAAAGTTAAAAAGGCTTTAAAGAAAATGAAGTTTGAAAAAACTGTTGGACCTGATGATATTCCAATAGAGATGTGGAAATGCTTAGGAGATGAAGAAATTTCATGGCTCACTAAACTTTTTGATATTAATTTGAAGACAAAATATACAAGATGAGTGGAGAATGTGTGTGTTGATTACTATTTTTAAAAATGAAGGAGATGCACAAGATTGTTCGAATTATAGATGAATTAAGTTAATGTGTCATATTTTAAAATTATGGGAGAGAGTTATGGAGCATAGGTTCGGGCATGACACTAATGTTTGTCAAAATCAATTTGGATTCATCCTGGGTAGGTCTACTATGGAAGCTATACATTTATTGAGAGGTTTGATGGAGAAGTATAGAGAGAATAAGGAGGATCTACATATGGATTTTTTATTGGTTTAGAATCTTTAGATAAAGCATATGATAAAGTTTCAAGAGAAGTGTTATGGAGAGTTCTACATTAGAAAGGGGTTAATAATGCTTGTATTCAAGTCATTGATGATATGTATGCAAGAGCTATTACTTGTGTTCAAACACAAGGTGGTTTGACCAAGTATTTTCCTATTTTAGTTATTACATTAAGGATGAGCCTTAAGCCCATATATTTTAGCTTTAGTCATGGATGTTGTCACTAGACATTTGCAAGAGGTTGTAGATTTTTGCTAATGATATTCTTCTTGTTGATAAGACTAGAGAGGGAGTTGAAGGCAAACTTGAATTATGGAGGTCAACCTTAGAGTCTAAAGGCTTTCATTTGAGTAGATCTAAAATTGAATATATGGAGTATAATTTTAGTAATAATAGGGGATTGTGATTTTAGGCGATCAAGTCATTAATAAGAGCACACGTTTTAGATATATTGGGTCAATTTTTCAGAGTGATGGCGAAATAGATGGTGATATTATTAGTAGAATTCAAGTTGGATGGTTGAAGTGGAGAAATGCATTGTGCTTGTTATGTGATAGAAAAAGTCTCTCTTAAACTTAAGGGAAAATTCTATAAGATGGTAGTGAGACCTGCAATGCTTTATGGTGCAAAATGTTGACCATTAAAAGAGAAACATAATATTAAGTTAAGTGTTGCAGAGACGATGATGCTCAAGTGGATGAGTGGCTTTACTGTTAAAGATAGGACATGGAATGAGCATATACGTGAAAAGGTTGGAGTAGCTCAAGTGGAAGATAAGATTAGAGAAGTCGCCTTAGATGGGTTGGTCACATAAAACGATGGCCTTCCGATGACTCGGTTAGGAAAGTAGATGTAGTAGATTTGACTTATGTTAAGAAAGGTAGAGGTAGACCTAAAAAGACTTGGTTAGAAAATATTAGAAATGACATTTCTTTATTAGATTTAGATGAGAATTTGATCATTAACCGGACACAATGGAGAAAAAAGATTCATGTAGCCGATCACACAGTGGGATAAAGTCTTGTTGTTGTTGTAGGCTTGCCTTAAAAAAATAGTGATAATTTTAAAAAATTTTGTGAACTTTTTATCCATTAGCTACTTTAGCTTATCCTTGGTGGAAGCACTAATTATCTATTAGCTACTTGTTAATCTCTCTTCCAACCTCTCATCTTTTCACATTGCATCGTCTACTACCTTCCTACAAGCGTTTTATACAATCTTCCATCCCCTGAACCTATTAGAATTTCAACATCTACTCCATAATTAACCTTCACACTTCCACCTAACAATCTCATGCTTTTCCAACACCTAAACTCCCCACTAGCCTTACCTCACTAATTCACTAAGCCCAAACTTGTGAAATCAACGAGATTTGGTTTGTCTATACCTAACTTTAGTTTCTCTTTACTTAAAATCCTCTAGGCCTATATGAACTCCTCCAACTCCTCCAGAATACATCTACAAACATTATTCTAACCCTTCAAAGTGTAATGGCCCAGACTCTCCTCCATGCCACAATCCTAATTTTTAAATCCCAAGTGCTCTTCTCCTGTCTTGGTTATCATCTTTTCTTGGCCAACCACTCCATTGATGCACCACTTCAAATGTCTCTTCATCAATATACCAAAAGGCTATTACTACATCATTGAAACCCTACTACAACAATTTGGAAATCCTGGTTCATCATCTTTCCAAGGCTACATCACAGCACTTCTGTAAATGAAGACAACCATTTTCTTTGTTTATATGGGGTAGTACATGATCACTTAAAATTGGAGATGATTGTGAATTGGTTGCACAAGTGATTTAGTCTGTTTATTATTTTTCTTTATACTGTGTCATAGCTTTATTTAAGCCAATTAATGGCTGATTGTTCAAGTATTGGTAATAGTGAAAGTGCGGCTTGGTAATGACAATCAAATCTGACATTGATTTGGGTTAGTGCTGTGATTAGATATGTATTCTAGTAACTTAAGGAAAATGCGATTGGCTTTGGACAAAGGACAAATCTATGGTTAGGTTCAGGAAAGTGGCTTGCTTGGAAAACATCTTATTAAGCCCTTTTTCCATAAATTTTTTTTCTTACATTCTAATGTGTTCATCTAGTTTTAAGTTAATTTTAACAATTAACTGTTTGCTTTTGTATTAGTAGTTAAATTGAGTTCTTTGGGTATGCTTTGTACTAAATTGCAGGCTTTGCTTGAAATGCAGTATTAGATCTTAAATGCAGTGAAATATGTTATGTATTGAGCATTTTCTATTGATCTTTAGTTGTCTTGACTTCTTGCTGATATTATATGCAGGTAGATGGGAGATCTATCAATGAGGTTAGCAAGAAGTGGCCTGTTATGGCTGATGTTGAAGGCTTGGCATGGGATCCCCATGCAGATCACTCTTTTGTGGTGAGTTCATCATTTGATTATTTTACTCCGTTAACCCATGGAAATCTAAGATTTGGAATGCGTATGGAATATGAAGCTTATAAGTTGGAATGAACATAAAAATGAACGAACAATTGTCAGCACAATTTGTGAAAAATTCCTCTATAGTTTGCAGTCAGCACAATATGTAAGATTCTATGGGTGTGAATTGTGTAAAATTCATGTGCCAATCCTGAACTAGTTGGTTCAGTTAGACTGATGGTCATGATGGTAGCTTGGAGCTAAAGAGGTTTATTTAGCAAGTGTAAGTAAAGACCATCTACTGGGATGTTCAACTTGATAAATATACTATATTTGGGCTTTCCTTGGTGATAAGATTTTGTTGGGGGCTTTCTTGAGCTCTTATCCGTCATAGGTTAAATAGGATTGAACCTGAAAATGTTATTATAAGAGGTATCCTTTGGTTTATTTGCAATAATACCTCCAAGCCACTAAATTACTTTTTGATGAATGTTTGAATGTTTTGGAAGGGAGTGATGAGAAAAGTGAACAAGAGGAAACAAGATGGTTTGTCGTTGATGTGGTAGAGAGAATAAAGGTGGCATGATGATTGTTTGTTTTGCTTTCAAAGCGGCCGGGTTGTGGGTGAGCAGAAAAAACGATGTATTCATGCGGTATAAAGAAGGTCAAATATGAAGAGATGAAGGAGCCAAGAAGCGGATATGGAGATAGACACATGGGGTTGGGGGGGGGGGTAGAGGCATTTAATGCATTCTTTAGAATTTATTGAAGCTACTTTTTGGCCTTGAGTAAAATATGTGGAAATTTGATGCCAAATGTGGAAAACTAATGTTTTTTAATTTGTGTTTGAACATAAGAAAATTAGTAAACTTAATGGTTTAATCATAATTTGAGGCTTCTTAAAACTAAATTTGTCTTTTTTGGTGTTATGGTTTTTGTGAAATTTACAGAAGAAAAATACTAGTAGATGGATATTGTCACATTATTGATTAAGAAAAATGGTGCATAATGGCTACATTTCGTGGATTTGTTGTGCACGTATTTTTGCTCAGAGTTAGAAGTCAGATAAAATGTCCCAATCTTTATTATTTTACTTAAGCACTATGTTACATGCCATGGGAGTAAAAATGGGCTCAAATATAAATTCTTGTATAATATGTAGTTGAAGGACACCATATTCATATCTCTAGAGTTGTGTAACCACCAATTAATGCTTGAAATTCGAGATTGAATGCAAACATGTACATGTTGAAACTATTTTGTGATTTTAGAAGTCACATTATTAAGTAGTTATCATTATGTTCCTTGTTTATCTATTATGTTGAAACTATTTTGTGATTTTCAGGTTAGTCAAGAAAATGGCGTGGTTCAAGGTTTTGATATTAGGATAGGATCATCAGATGGTTCCAGTTTTAAACCAGTCTTCACACTCCATGCACATGACAAAGCTGTATCTTCAATTTCCTATAATCCATGTAGACCCAATGTATCAATTCCAACGCAGTCCTTTGTGCTTTGGATGTTTGTTAATTAGATAAAGAAGTATTTTTGAATATTTTCTCGTACTCTCTAAATTTTGCAGCTTCTTGCTACAGGATCAACAGATAAAACGGTAATGCATATTCGTTTTTACATTACATTTCCAAATATAATACTAGAACATTATGATAATTTATATTCCACGCTTTTCCAGGTGAAGCTATGGGATCTATCTAACAGTCAGCCTTCTTGTGTTGCATCTACAAAACCTAAAGCTGTAAGTTTCAACTATCTTTTTTTTTTTTTTCCTTTGTGAATGGTGACACTACTTTTGGCCTTAAGCTATTGGCATGGCTTGCTTGACTATGATAGAAATAGCAATGGCAATATTGTAGAAAACATTATATGCTCTTTAAATATTTAATGACATCTCTATGCAATCCTATAAGAACAACAAAGTCTGTATTGCTGTTTTGTAGCAGAAGGAAATACTCGGATTAAGTCTATGTGCATACCTTGTTTATGGTATAGTACACATACGAGAAAAGAAAAGTTGCCTTTTTATTTAATTTAATGCGAGAAATTAAACCTGGCTTTATATTTAAGTATGTAATGATCTTATTCAATAATTTTGTTATATTCTAGTATATTTTTGTCTTAGTGGTTCGAATGCTTAGATTAAGTTATATGGCACGAAGGGCCTTCATGACTACGTTTTTTTTTTCTTGTAATAAAGGTGGATATTTGCACAGCTCTTTTCAAGGTTTTCTCTTTGAATATATATATATATATATAGAGAGAGAGAGAGAGAGAGAGAGAGAGAGAGAGAGAGAGAGAGAGAGATACCCTCCTGGGAGTAAAAATCCTATTCTCCAAATTTTTTGCATTTTGATTGTGGATCAAATGTCAAATGATTAGAAGATGCGACAATGTGTCTCATATGAGGACCACGTGTGCCCTAGTGAGGATGATTTGAGATTGGAATGAATAGGTGTGATGCGAGCATGTTTTTGTGTGTATTGAAGCTATTGTCCGTGATGGCGATGCATTGGATGATGGCAATGGGTTTCACCGTTTCGGCTTTGGTTATAGGTTGGGGTTTAGCTTGTGGTAGCTTTAATTTTGTTGGGGGTGATTTTGATGGGGGAACAAGAGCAAGAAGATGGGGCCTTCTTGGGGAGAGGGGGAGCTTTTGCGGGATGAGGAAGACACTGCCCTCCTAATTTATTTCCACTGAAATAAGAAACATTTGTCATGCTAATTTATGCAATTCAAGTTTATTTTGTCAAATAGGAAATTGTTATTACTAATCTGAGCCATTTAACTGATTTGCAATTGCAATGCTAATATTGATTTTTTGCTGGATCTGAAGATCCTTTTATGACTTCTTATGGACATGGAGGGTAGCATCACTACAGCAAGTCATAAGAGAGTTCTTTTGTTAACTAGCAGATAGAAGTTTTAGCTTATATTATTGTACGCAATATGTTATTCCTCTAGCCTGATTTTTTTTGCTCTATATAATTAAGTTTTCTCGTGTTGCTTTCGTATTGCTAGTTTCTTGTGTGCCTCTTTTTTATCTTGAACAAAAAAGAGGCAGGTTAAAAAATGTAGATTAGAGAGCATTTTTCATATTTACATCTGCATGTGCATCCACTAGGGGTGCAAACGAGTCGAATCGAACTCGAGTCAAGGGTTGTTCGAGCCGAGCTCAACTGCCACATACCGAGCTTGAGCTTGAGCTTGAGCTCGAACTCAATTCGAGCTCGACTCGGCAAGGGAAAATGTGCTCGTGATATTTTGATGTGAATCAAAGATTAGAATATTATTCAAGTAAATGTAAAAAAATTAAATGTTAGATACCTAAATACATAGGAATCCAGTAGCATGCTTGTAAATCCCCCATTACAGTATTGTGAGAGCAAGATAATTGCTGAGGACCAAGAACTGTGAGATTATAAAGACCATTTGTGATATACTTGCAAGTGCTTAATTGGTTCGTTTGCAAGCAAAGTCATTTACCAACAATTCCAATCATTCTCCTTCTCTCTCATTCATAAATATAGTGGTAAATGTTTTTTTTTTTTTGCTTTTGATCCTTTTTCCGCTCTTCATTGAAAGTATCTGTTACTTATTTGATCTATATTCTTTTGAAATGTTAACAGGGAAGCATTTTTTCCATAGCTTTCTCAGAGGACAATCCATTTTTGTTAGCCGTTGGAGGCCACAAAGGGAAACTGAAAGTAAGCCACAAATAATTGAGAGAAGACTGAAATGTTTTGAAATAAAATTTCTTGGTCTGAGAAGTTGCATGTTTACAGATATGGGACGTGACATCGGAACCAGGGATAGCTCGAAGCTTTGAAAAGTACATTAATAAAGGAGAAGGTCCAGCGACTTCGGCCTAATCTTGGAAAAGCAGGGCGGAGTCGCTATTGTATTGGGCCCTTTAGGAGCTGCTTAGTTTGGCTAGCAGGTCAGAACAGATGTATGTTTATTTTTTAATAATTAATAGCAATATACAATAGTGGGTTTAAATGAGCGATTGCCTTAAATTAATTTCTTAAGCCAGTTGCCAACTTATATTTTTCCATGTCTCTTTAAAATAAACCAAGAGGTTTTTTTTTGGGGGCGCAATTTTTTTTAATTTTATTCAATGAAAAAGTTAAATGAATTTTAGTTTTGAAGTTTATTTTATATTGCTATTTATTTTAAATTTGGTATTGAAATTTCAGTGAAGTTTTCTATAAAAAATTCTTTTAAAACAAGAATAACAACATCAAGCCTTTATCCCACTGCGTAGGGTCGACCACGTGGGTCCTTTTTCTCCATTGCGTCATATTAAAAGTCAAATTCTCGTTTAAATCTAATAAAGAAAGATCATTTTTTAATATTTTCTAACTAAGTCTTTTTAGGTTTGCTTCTACCTTTCTTAACATAAGTAAAATCTAATACCTCTACTTTCCTAACCGGGTCATCAAAAGGCCGCTGTTTTATGTGACCAAACCATCTAAGGCAAAGCTCTCTAATCTTATCTTTTATTGGAGCCATTTCAACCTTTTCATATATATGCTCATTTCGTATTCTATCTTTAAGGGTAAAGCTACTCATCCACCTGAGCATCCTCATCTCTGACACACTTAACTTAGTATTATGCTTATATTTTAAAGGCCAACATTCGGCACCATAAAGCATATTTAATGATGATTGTTCTAAGTAATGTATATAGTATTTTCATCATAATTAGTCAATAATTTTTGCATTGTAAAGGCATATTCTTAGTGAATACTATTATTTAAGGACTATTGTTAATAAATATAGTTTTATCTTTTCATCTTGGTTCTAATCTACCCCCAAACCTTAGATTGATGTACAACTTACTTTTTTTATCATGTTGAACTAACAACTAGTGTAAGACATCACATTCGACTAACAATTGGTATATGTGAGTCTGGGGAGAGTTTTAAAGAGTTAGGTTATGACTGATGAGATAAATTTTTAGAAGATAAATTGAATTTTAGATAAGATATTGTCCAGAGATTAGCCCTTATTTTATGAGGATTTAGTGATCTGAGGTTTGATTTTTTCATAGGGGGTTAATTAACCCCTTCGATAATAAGAAAGAACTTTTAATTAATTAGATAGGCAATGAGTTCCAAGTATATAGTAGTACCAGTTTTAAAATTTTGAAATTATTTTTTTTAGGAATTTTAGAATTTGAAATTTGTCACTATATACTTAAAACGAGTGACGGGGGAATGATGATGGGCCCGATCAAGGTCTTATGATTCTATCGTCTTTGATTGTCATGGCCCCTGGTCCACTTAGTCAGTGAACAATCCAATTTGATCGAAAGATTCTTCTTGGTACCTATAGGTTGCTTCGTCCAAAGGGACCTTGTAGATTTTTGGTGAATATTTGTTTAAGGGATATATTTGAGTTAGCCTTTGTCCTATCTATTATATCATATAATTCATTATTCAAGTGTTTAGAGCTAAGGCAATATATAGGCTCTAGATGTGATTGTAATTATGGAGAAGACCTTGACCAAATTTAGAGTGTTCCATCAGACGACCCATATTGAATTTTATGATCATGGAGCATTTGTCAATCATTTATGTATATTAATATGTCAAAATTAAGCGATATTGAGCTCGTTGGTTTTGTTTCGTTGAGCCCCTCGATTTGACTGTAAGCATGCTATACTTGAAAATTATTTGGTCACTCAATTAATATTATGAAGCTTTCAAATGTGTGTTGCCATTAATTTGGGCTCGGATTTAACTAATTTTAGTATCATTGGATTCATTTCGTTGAGATGTTCATTTTGACTATAAGTTTGCCAAGATTGGAACTTGGATGGTTCAAAATTGAATTTCAGATATCATTAATTTGAATATACCTCAAAATTCATGTCTAACCAGGATGATTCTTGATAGTGTATATCTCTTAAATATTTATATACCATAAGACGCAATTAGAGGCCGAATTTCCAAATCGAAACCACCGTTCGCAAATCCCTGTACAAAATCTTAGAAGCTTGAATGCCGGCGTTGATCCGATGCTTAATTATAAGGCTCAATTAATCAGATCTAAAAGCACTACGCCAGATCGGTAAAATTAATCCACCGATGGCCGAAGAAACCCTAACCAATTCCATGGTCCCCGCCCTCTCCGTCGCCGGAAAAATCCCTTTCCGCTCCAAAAAGGTCCGCAAATCCTCCACCACCTCCACGACAGCCGCGGAAACATCGAAGAAACCCCGTCTCATCCTTCCACTTGCTCTCTCCATCGCCGGCGAGCTCGATTCCGCCCTCCGCCATCTCACCACCGTCGACTCCCAGCTCGCCGTCATCATCAAATCCCTAGAGCCCCCCTCTTTTCACAATCTCAGCACCCCCTTCCTTTCTCTTTCCCGCAGCATCCTATACCAGCAGCTCGCCACAAAGGCCGCCGCAAGCATCTACGCCCGCTTTATCTCCCTCTGCGGCGGCGAAGATTCCGTCGCCCCCGAGGTCGTTCTCAGTCTCACCCCGCCGCAGCTCCGTCAAGTTGGTGTCTCCTCTCGCAAGGCATCGTACCTTCATGACCTCGCTAGCAAATACCAATCAGGATTTCTCTCTGATTCCGCCATTGTCGCTATGGACGATGACGCTCTTTTTTCCAAGCTTACGACGGTGAAGGGAATCGGGCCTTGGTCTGTTCACATGTTCATGATCTTCTCACTTCATCGTCCGGACGTGCTACCCGTGGGCGATCTTGGCGTTCGCAAAGGTGTGCAGATTCTTCTTGGCTTGAAGAAGATTCCTCAGCCGACGGAGATGGAGGAGCTCTGCAAGGCTTGGAGACCGTATCGATCGGCTGCGGCCTGGTACATGTGGCGGCTTGTTGAGTCCAATGGGAAGGCTGCGAAGGCATCGATTTGAAACGCTGTAGGTTTGGTGGATTTGCTGAATCTCTGTTTGAGCTACAGCAGCCTAATTAATGAGATTTCTTGGGTGAGAATTGTTTGCCATTCTAGTATCAACTCAATCAGTGCTGTAAGCTTATTTGAACTCCACTGCTGTTTGAACTATCGTCCATTATCTTTTAAATATATACTCCCTTATAAGCAATATATATTTTAAAGAGAGTATCTATTTTAAAGATATTTGAATATACTTTAAATAACAAATCAGCAACTAATGGCATTTCCAACACACGTGAGCTCTAGCCGAACGGTAAAATTTCTGTTATTTGTTTGCTGGTGAACAACGGGACGTCAATATTGGCATTGCACTGTTCATATTCGACATTTTTTGGTATCTACCAAACTTGCCGAAGAAATGCGCGAAAGAAGAGAACGGCTGTTACCTTCGCAAAAGGGTGCAAAATGGAGTTCGATTGGAGATGTATCACGACATTTTTTAGTTTCACGGCATTTTGCAGTGAAAAACTTGAAGATGCTCTAAGAGCATCTCCAACGGAACTCCAAACGTTTGAATGCCGTTGCCCCGGAGCTCCAGCCGAATGGTAAAACTTATGTTATTTCCTTGCTGGTGAACAGTGGGACGTCAATATTGGCGTTGCACTGTTCATCATCGTTATTTTTCTGCCTCTACCGAGCTTGTCAAGAAACGCGTGAAAGAAGAGAAAGACCTTTATCTTCGCAAAATGGAGTTTGATTGGAGATGAATAGCGACATTTTCAAGTTTCACGGCATTTTGGAGTGAAAATACGATTTTCCATTGGAGATGGTCTAACAAAGAGTATATTACATCAATTTATCCATAGAAATCTTTTCTACATAATGAACAGAAATGCAATCCTGATCATTAACAAAGTTCACCGATCACACATACCAGTCGTGTAAGCCGAGATATTTTTTTTTTTGGCTTTTGTAGCGATGTATTGCATATTGTTTGCCGCCATCTTGACATTCTCATGTTGCCACCCCATTCCCCTATACATCAGAGATTTACATCAAATTTAGAATAATGCTTAAATTATTCTTCTAAAATCCAAATTCCAAAAAAACACAAAGACCTACTTTTGAAGCTTTTCGTGAGTCAAGTATCGGCTTCATGCGCCACCGTCGAATTTATCTAGTGGACGACAAATTATTGGGTTCGGACACCGGACATGTTGGAGCTCAATGAACATGCGCCACATCACCTCTTACTTGGTATTGAACAGTACCGAGCTCAGTATTGCTCATTACTCAATACTTCATAGTACCGAGCTCAGTAATGCTCAGTACTGTGAATACCGAACGTAAGTTGTGTCCGGTGTCCGAACACAATAATCTCTCCTTGTTGACCGCCTCACTCATCTTTCCGCATGGAGTATGACCAGGATAATGAAAAGGCTAATAAACAATACTCCTCTAACTAATTTTTCATGGATTCTTTCATCATAATCAAGTTAAGTTAATTTTTAATATATAAACTAAATTTATTACACATTTATATTCTTCTCAATTAGGCTAATAAAGTAATTATGAGAGCATGAATTAAATTCAATACCAACTAATTTGATCTGCCTACAACTCAAAACTCACCATATTTGAAGTTATAAAGCCTCATGTAATCAATAATTGAATCTTGTCAAGCTAACTAAGCATCAACCTTGCTGAATCATCAGTACCAATATCAAAGTTTTGAAAATCAAATTGGTCATTGATTTTAAAAAAGAAAATGTTCTGAGTTAAAAAATTTAATAGGAGTTTTAACTGGTTGTTGAACAGAATAATGTAATAAAAAAATCATTTAGTTATTATATTTAATTTATATAATAATCAAGCAAATCTATGATAAAAATAAAAATAATTCTTTCGAGAAATATAGAAAATTCACAAGAAATATCTTATATAATCTTTCAATTCTAATATTATTTCAGTTTGTCCTATAGTTTTATCTGTGATTGAAGTCTAAAGGGGGAAAATTGGGATGCAATCAGAGGAAAAAATGAGAGAGCGAGGTTTCTTCCATTCTTTTAAGATTTAGCAATTTATTCACTTAAATTATTTAGTTCAGCATTAAATTTTAAGAGCTTGATACCGGTCATAAGTAGTGACAATTTGATCATGATAATAAAACCCTGCCAGCTTATCAATACATTTGTGACTAATTCGACCCCTAATACTACTTGATTCTAGCCATTTTTGTGGTAGAACTTTTTTCGTAGTGGACAAAAGCGGTCAAGGGATCGATTCACGATTGAGCCAACCGATTCAGCTTGATTTTTAAATTATTGCTACTTGATCTATGTTCTGTATACGATGAAAAAGATGAGTTTCCATTAAGTTTGAGGAAGAAGAAATAAGAATATAAGCTCTATTTTTAAGCGTTGCCACTCTGAAGTCTCTCTTGAAATGAGTTATATCTCAGCAATCTTTTAGAATTGCAAAGCATAGCATTTAAAATCTATAATCACTCTTTGAGGCAAAAGATGTATTGTATTTATATTAGGGATGCTAGTTAGAGATGGTGCTAAGGACGTTGACCTGTGGGACATACGTGACCATCCCTAGCAACAATAGAAGATCTGGTCAAGTGGCAAGCTAAGAAATGATAACACATTGACAGCAATTTGACGATTGGCCGGATGGTAGACTAAGGCTTCGTTTGAGATAGTTTTCGAACTACTTTTTAAAACAACTTTTTAGTATAAAATTTTCTAATTTAAGAAATTTTTTTACTAGAAAGTTGTTTTAAAAAGCAACAAAAAAGTTGTCCAAATAAAACATAATTCTTGAACCCTAAGAGTAGCATGGAGGGGTGACATGCACAATGAGAGCCTCTTATTTTGGTGAAGAGGCGGACATGGTAGTTGGTCATTGTTGGACAACAAAAAATGCCTAATAAGATGGTTCCCCCACACGAGAAGTAATAATATGGCTCCACTATCAAGTGAAATGAGTGAGAATTATTGTTGCCTTGTTGGTGTGTCAAGGCTAAAAAGCATTATCCATAGGAGTAGGGGTGTCAATTTCGGGTCACGGGTTGGGTTCAGATCGAATTCGGAGCTGAACTGGGTTCAATCGGGTCGACCATAACCCGACCCGGGTAGATAAATGGGTCGAAAACTTAGCCAAGGTGGGTATCCATGGGCGCGACTCGCGAACTACAGCTACGCGACGCGGGCAGCCTTGGCAGCCGCGTGGGTAGTCGGGGCAGGTGCGGGCAGCCTTGTGCAGTGCGAGCAGTCTTGGGCAGCGCTGGAAGCTCATTATAATTGTTTTTTTGGGTTGACCCGGCAACCCGTTGGGTCAACCCGAACCCGACCCGTTTTCCAAACGAGTTGGGTCACCCGAAATTTCGGGTCGGTTTCGAGTCGGATTTTCATGTTATGTCAAATATTGACACCCCTACGTAGTAGTTGGAGAGAAGTTTAATTGAGGTGGTGGAAAGGATTTCAGGTAGACTTGTTGGAGATGTTCTTTTAGCTCTTGTACATTTGGTGGGGTAGGGAAAGGTAAACTTGGGCTACGATGCTTAGGCTAGTGGCTTGCTCTTTACTAATCTAGTCAATTATGAAATCTTAAAATGATTGATATATTGTAAGGTTGAAAAGTCTTGGTATCAATTTCCACATAAACTTGGTTATGATATAACCAGTCAGTGCGGCCAAATGTTATTTATAATCTAAGAATTTAAGATACATTAGGCGTCCCTCCTGGCATTCTAGGGCTGCTTAGAGGCGTCCCCTCGACGGCCTTCGCTGCCTTCTCACTCAGGGGAGTTCTTCTTCTCCCTTATTCTAGCGGTTTTTTATCTTCTCGTGCTGGTTTGTGCTTTTTTTCTCGTTCGTTGGTTGTTGGTATGGCGTCTATACGCATGTTGGACCCCGTTTTTTGTTTGGTTCCAGTTTTTTGCATTCTTTTGCCGATGCTTTAGCTGGTTCCCCATCTATTGGGGTTTTCCCGGAGCTTAAACTGTCGTCTTTCCGTGGCCTATCATCCTTATGGATTTCCGAGGATGAAATTAGGGCACTTGCTACTCCTTTCTAGTTCTCGCTTGTTAGTTTTTTTCGATCCCGTGTCCGAATCTTGACTCAATTTGGAGATTTTTTGCCAATCTTAAACTAATAGCTGATTGCTCGATTATTGTGCTTGATTCTTTTCACATCCTAGTTAAGCTCTCGAATGATCTTGGTTATAGTCGGGTTTTCAGTCATCGTTCTTACATAGTCTATAATTGCTATATGAAATTAACGAAATGGACTCCTTCTTTGGATATTTCTGTTGAATGCCTGATTATTCCTATTTGGATCTCCTTCCCAGGTACTCGTCCTCATCTTTTTACCCCAAGGATTCTTCATGCCTTAGGATCGATTTTTGGTCACCCGTTGAAAGTTGATTCTACCACTTCGTTGGGTTATAGGTTGTCTATTGCGAGAGTGCTGGTGGAGATTGACATAATGAAAATCTATCCAGAAAAAGTTTGGATTAGCCCAGAGAAGTTTGGCTATATCCAAAAGGTCGAAATGGAGGTCTTTCCCCCTTTTTATGCTCTTTGTCAATCTATTGGCGATGTGAGGGGGGATTGTAAGTCTAAAAATGGTGTCCCTCTTACTGCTCCCTCTAAGCATTCTTCTGTTGTCTTGGTTTCAGATAAGGGGTTAGATGTTGTTGTGCCATAGCCTAGTGTTGTCTGTGAGGTTAATTCTCTTAATATTAATGTTTTGGTTGTTGATCCAGATGTGCATGTGTCTTCCCCTTAGCTCCCGCCTTCCTCACCTGCTGTTGATTGTGAATCTCATGGTAGGCCTTATTCTAATGTTATGCTGTTGGATACTGAGGTGGATGGGTCTATTCCGGCTTTCCATGGCCAGCGGGTGTGTATTTCTGAGCCTGGGGGTGTTAATTGTGACGTTACCCCGTAACCTATTGTGTCGTGTGCTACTTCTGTGCTTGTCTTGTGTGGCCTCGCTAAGACTGAGGTTCCTTGTGTGAGTGCAAAGAACTCTGTTTTCTCTGTTTCTCCTAATAATAGTATTTCGCCTCTTATCCCTGCAGGTGAGACTTCTACACGTTTGGTTGCCCCTACTGTCACTTTTTCTGTGACACCTACTGTTTTAGTTACTGGTTTTGTTGTTGATGTTCCTGTTAATTTAATTTCCCCTGAGGCGTTGTGTTATCATGTGAGTGACAACTCAGGGGTGGAGTTAGACATCAAATTGATTGGCTTCAAGGTTCTGGTTCGTCCTCGGAGTCTAGTGGGGATGAAGATCATGGAGGTGAGTTTGCTCTGTTGTAGGACAAACATGTTGTTTCTGCTGCTTCTCGTGGGAGGGGCAGACGTGGTAGGAAATAACTTTTGGATTTTTTGTGGTGGTTTTTGTATCACTTGTCGGTTTCCATTATGCTTGGCCCTTGCTTGGTGGTGTTGTTTGGCTAGTCTGGTTGGATGACTTACTGTCTCTTTTGGATGTGGTTGTGGGTTGCTTTGGTTAGTAGGCTTTGTGGATTATTATTTTCTTTCTCTGGTTATGGTTTGCTAGACCGTTGTTTCTTATTTCAGGTTGCAAGTTATGGTTTGTGAGCAATGATGTGGCTAGGGCTCACTTGTCTTAAGCTATGGCTCGTGGCAACCTTTGGTGTTACGTGCTCTTTTTGGTTGGCTACTCTCTTACTCTAAACTGGATGGCCCATACCTGGCTTGGGATTGGTTGGAAGCCTCTACCAATTACTGAGCCTGATAGTTCTCACCCCCCTCTATTTGTATCTTTGTAGCTTTTTCGTCTTGTTT